GATCCCCGGGATGGCAAGGGTATATTGGCACCGCCACAAATGTCACTTCCACCACCACCACCACCAGGGCCACCACCGCAGTCTCACATGCCACAACATAAACGAGGTAAGTACTATTCTGGTGACATGGTTCGTGATGGTCAGGGTTTTGGATGGCCACATGAGAGTCGAGATAGCTATTCAAATAGCCAAGACTAGAGAAGTTGCCTCTATTATGGGCATTATGGCATGTAATTTTTTTGTGCTGAACTTCTTGTCTTATTCAATTAGCCCACTGGGCCATGTTTCATTCTTTCTCTGAGAGCTTTCTGTTTCTGTTTCTGTTTCTCTTTTCTGGGTCATTTTGGCTTGCATATCTCAACTCAATCGGGGCTAACATAGCAAAATTTTGAAGACATGTCTTTGTTTGCCTGGGCAGAAATCTCCATACCAAGTTGTCTATAAAATCATATGTTTTCAAGACTTGAATTTTATTTTACTCCTTCACCTTGGGATGCTAGGTCAAAACTTTTGTAACACCAAACATCCGAAATGAATAGTTTTAAATTTGCCCCATATATATATTTGCATTGAATTACATGATTCCTTCTTGCTTGGCTTGCCATAGATAAAAATTTTTACTTATGGCCGTTTGGATCAGGGGTATATAAGATAACGAAGGTAATTTTTGTTTATTTTGCAAGATTCTAGTGTTTGGTTTGCAAATAATGAAATATTACGGTAATCTTTTATTGCCTATTGTATTTACTGTTGGTAATGTGGAGGGTAATCTTACTACCTTGCTAGGAGGTGTTATTACAACATTACAAGGGTAATATGATTTTTCTATCCATTTTGCCCTTAATTAAAAACCATTTTGAACACAATTGCCTTCAAATGTCTACTAAATAACAATTACTCAGCCCCCTTACATTTGAGAAATTAGCTAAAACACCTTAACCACAAAAAAGTTTAAAAGTTAATAAAATACCTCCAGCCACCTAAGACCATCACCGGCCCTGACTCATCACTACTGGCCATTTGCGTCAGTTGTTGTAATGGTGTACAATCAGTGGGATCTGGCTTGTCATGTGTCGGTAAGGCCTTTTTCGGCCATGGATCTGCTAGAAGCAGCCAAAATCTAGCATTTCTATGGCCATTTCATAGCCACAGATCTTTGGCCGTGGTATGGCACGACCAAAGATTTGGCTTTTTCACGGCCACATCTTTGGTCGTGAAATGGCCATAGATCTGGTTATTTTTTAGCTATGGATTTATGATTCATGGCCATTTTCGACTTTGCCAGTGCACGGTTGGCCATATACGGTCAGTCATGTGCCATTCTGTCGACTGTCGGCGGTGGTTGACTGCCGACAATGGCTTGGGGTGATTTTACTACAAATTAAAGTTTGATATGGTTGGGGTGTTTTGACAAAATTTCAAATGTAGGAGGTTAAAAAAATATTTAAAAAATAATAATAAAAGATAATATTATATTACTATTTAAAAGGGGAGACAATTTAATAATCTATATAACATACTCACCCATTTATCCTTTCAACCAAACATATGATTAACCAATTTATTCAAACCAACCAAACACATTTTTTAAACATTTTTGGTAATCTTTAAAGTAATATTTCTTCCTGTTAATATAATATACCCTTATAATAAAATATTATATGATCCAAACGCTTTATATAAATAATTAGTTTATAATAATTATATTTTTTAATTCTGTTTATAAACTGCCAAGTGATTGCCTTAATCCAAAAAAAGATTATCCGAATTTCTATAAGTTTTCCAGAATTTAAGAACTAATTAGCAGTTTTATCAGAATAGTGAGAATTTATAGTGTACATTTTCCCTTAGCAGTCTGTATGAAAACAATAATGGAGAGAAAGGGTCAACACCCACCAAAGGTGGTGAACCCAGACATTTTTTCATCATTGAAACCGTATCTTAATAACAAGTAGAAGTATTTCAAAGCCAAAACTTTCTGATTGTATGTTTTTCAGATTCCCTCAAAGTGATTAGGGTAGTGTCTCCTATATTTCTTTCAATCAAAAGCTCTCACAGCCTAAAACTCAGGCATCTAAATAAGGATACAAAGACAAGAAACCATTTTCGAATAAATACACTCTACCACACCCTGCAGCTCAATAAGAAAACAATCCAATAATGCCCCTCCATTGACACTCCCCAGCTCCTCACAAAAGAAAACCAATATCAGAAAGGAAGGTAATCACGAAGCAAGGAGATATTAGCTTAGTTTTTTCTTTTCCAAGATCCATTTCCAGACTTTGCTGACAATTTTCACATCAAATTTCACATACAATTCCCGCAGTTTCCTGTAGCTCATAATCACACATTTATCTATACAATCTTCATATCTTTCATATAAAGCTGGAACTGTAAGAACAATAACGAGGCCTGCGATTGAAGAAAGTTAATGAGTAGAATTATAGAAACTAAAATTCAGGTCACAATTAAAAGAACATTCACAAAATTATTAGAAATAAAAAGAACTTTCTCAGAAGGCCAGTTAGTTTTCTGTAATAGTTATTAGAACTGGAACTTACTGGTATAGCCTAATGTAAGAAAATCTGTGAAGCCACCAATGAAGGAAATCAACCACAAGAGTACAGCTACTTTGAAAAACAACCTTGAGTCCTTTCCCAGGGCAATGTCGTGGGAAACTGAGAGCAAATCATTTACATGGGTGCGAACGAAAGCTGCCACTTCATTTACCGTTTCTTCTGAGAGATACAACTCCGGAAGGGGTGGAGCAGGTCTGTTCAGGAGAAAGAAAAGCACAATGGGATTGCAGTTTTCTAACAGATGAGAAAAAAGAAAATTGAACATTGTTTTCATTCTAGTGGTAATAGTTAACACATTCTATAACTTGGAGGACAACAGAAACTAATTGCAGTTTCCAAAGTGGAGTATTCTTGTATGGTGTATGTGTTCATTCTTCCTACTTATTAGACGAGGGAGCAGCAACTACACCAAAGATCAGAGAAAGAAAAAGACTGATGTCTATGAGAATTACATGTTCAGATCAATTCCAAATTTGCAAAGCCAGAAGTCATCAAAGCAAACCAACAATCTTGTAAAAAGAAAAGCTTCTCCAAGATAGCTTTGTTCAAACTTTGTTCTTGAGAGAACTTTGTTCCATCCTAAGAATCAACGAAAAATGCAAAAGTAACTGACTTGTAAGGGTACAATTTAGCTAAATAGTATACCCAGAAGAACATCATAACATATGTATTTTGCATAATTTAACATCCAAGTTCATCTCTATTTCAAAGACTCCCCAATGTGATTACCACTGGCATGAAGAAACCACTTTGTGAGGACTGGCACTGCAATACCATGATGGAGCAAAACAATTTCATATAAAATTCTGAAAAGGAACGGTCAACCTTAAAAATTTCACATCTTCAACTGGGGGATGATGATATCCAATAAAGCTTGAATTCAAGATAAGCTCATAAAATGCAGTTCATAAACAAATGAAATTAGAAAAGCCAATCTCCAAATGCAAAATGGAGGAATTAGAGCAGAGCAAAATAGTATATATAGTATAATTCACAACTGATTATATTCTGTTCATCATTTCCATGAACTTAAAAGGCACCAAATAACATTAACATAGTTAGAAGCACAATTTAATTGTATATTACCGATTAAGAACGGCAGCAGATTTGGCCCAAAGAAATAAAATGGCAAAGAGGAGGAGGAGAACACTAGAGACAAGAGACAGCAGAGTATAACCAGATCCCTCAAACACCACCCAAGCAGCAAAAGTCACCATCAATATCCCCAAAGTTACATTTTTTTGCTTCCAAAGAATCACATCTGCAACTGTTTAAACAAAGATATCAAACATACATAAAGTCCTTAGCAGCTAGCTTAATTAATCCATTAAAACAAGATCATCAAAGACAGGGTCCATCTCTTCATAAGTTCTTAGGTACATTATAAATTATATAAAGGCTGCTTAATAAACACCAGGGATAAATGCAAAATGAATTAACTATATATCGGATCATCAAGAATTAAAAAGAAGCAGCCATTAAATTTGACTTACCAAGACCTCCTCCAAGGATTTCATGGACAGTTCTTTGTCTGTCAAACAATCGATCACCCATTTAGAAGAAACGGAAATTAAAGATCTTTAAAACTCCAAAAACAGGGAGCTTTGGGATGATCTTCCGGAAAAAGAAAAGCAGTAGCAGCTTCTGTTATCCCTTATATCTAAAAAATTTATTTTATTTATTTTTATTTTGGGTAATGTTTGGTGCTGATGAATATAATATAAGAGATGAGTATTGAAAAGGCGTTGGTTGGTGAGTCAGATTCCAGCCTAAAAGCGTCATCCCACTCATAGCCCTTGTTTTTCTCCCATTTTCAAGACTTTCTCTTAGTTGATACATGTATAGCCCACAGTATAGTTTTCACCGTCGAATGTGAAGACATTCCTTCCTTCCATTCCATGCATTTGGATTTTCAATGGAGGGTATTCATGTCATTCAATGCGTTATCTTTGAATATCTGGCTGCTGCTTTCTTCAAGCATTTGATGGGCAATGCGCAATGCAACTGTTTGTAAATACCTCGTATCTTAACTAAGATAAACTTCGATAGGGTTTTTTCGGTATCCAAGGTATTTGGGTCAGCTGGTATGCACTTCAACTAGTCCCCTAAAATCTTGAAGTTAACAAACTGATAAAGCTCCAATGACTATCTATACCTTATTCGTATCTGATACCTTGTTCGATTCAATTCACGATTCCACGTGATTTTAGCCCAAACAAACCATCTCAGAATACTTTTAACCAAAAAACATAAATAGTTGCTCTCTGCAATAAGTCTAACTCCACCGGCTATTTATATTTGATGAAAGGCTGGGCGGCGCCACAATCTTGACTCAGTTATAACAATCCCACAAATACTAATATTTACTCATAAGTCAGATATCGTGTATCGTTCATATTCATGTTAAATGGTACCAAAATATTGTTGTAAGTTAACCAAGACCTGCTAACTCTGTAGCATTACTGGGAATTGGGATTTCGCTCCCAGTAGCAAAACAAGAAAGATCGCGTACAAGCAGAACCAATACAGAGACCGAGCATGTATGCCCGAGGAAAAACGTTCCGAAAAATCCAGATACTGAAAGCTAAAATGTCATATCTTGATGACACTTTTGACAACGTTATTAGACTTGGACAAAGTATAATGAACGTATATACTGCACAAACACAACAATTCGTGTTATGGAAAAGTGCATCAACATCTAACCCGATATGGATCATCATACTCAACCAGTAACTAAAAATTTTAAAAATATTATTCCTCCTGTGCAGGTTTTTCTTTGCTATCTTGATTTTCAATTTTTGGAGCACTAGTTTCGACGCTAGCCACTGCTGGGGAAGAATCTAAGAGGCTAGCAGCTATTGCAGCTTTCAAGTCCTCATCTTCAATCTCTGGAATCGCATCAGCCTCCCCAAAAGCAAGTAATGGATCAGATTGCTCTTCAGTCAGCTTGATTCTCTTCGGTCCCTCCCTTGAGTTGCAAGATTTAGTAATCCTCTCAGCATCCTCAGGCAAGAGCCATTGGCCGTAACCATTAGAAGTCTCGGAGGATGAAATGGGGCACTCCTTTGGGAAATTTCCCCTGACCAGGAAAATGCTCCAGCCAAAGCCTTTCAGAGAATCCAAATAGGCTGAGAGGTAAAACTTAGAGAGGTGCTCTGGGGCCGCATAAAGACTGTCAAAATTATACCACTCTCCATTCACTTTCCTGATACAGAACCAATGGTCATGCAAATGGCAAATAAATGCATTTTCTTGCTCCGGATCAATCTGGGCTGGCTCAGCAGCAGGGCAGTTAAGGGGAATGACTTGCAGATCCCACACCTCTAATGCCTTTTGCAAAACCTACAAAAACTCATTGACAAAATTAATTTGAAAGAATACTATGAATGTTACCAAGCAAGATCACCTGCAAAAGTAGCAAATGCTCATGCATGTAGATCAGCCAATAAGAATGGATAACTTTATCCACAAGATGATAATCATCATATGTTCAAAACATTTGATTATAACAAAGGCAACATGCACGCACATAGACTGGCAGATGAACAGAATCAAACAGCATAATCTGATTTCATAAACTAATGGCTCCATGAGTGTGTGTGTGTGTGTGTGTAAAGTGTGCAAATTCCATGAAGCCTTAACTACTTGTGGTACATAGGAATTGATTACTAATTGATATTTTACACCTATATTGTTGAATTAAAGAGACAATTTACGTACTATATACACCCAATGAGCTCCAGTATAAAGAAAAAAAATTTAACCAACTAATTAAATTTGTGTTTGTATGGGAGGAAAAATCCACACCACGTTATATGAAAAGGAAAAGGAATACAGAAAACTAAAAGGTGCATGGAAGATAATTCAATGTCAATCTTCTTTCTTCCTAAGGACATTCAACTCAAATCTGATGAAATAAGCAACAAAGAAAAACCACGAACTATAAAGGACATATATGAAGAAAAATTAGCAAAACATTGTCGTAGTTTCACCAGTTCAGTACTAGAGAAAGCACCAAAAGAAGAAAATCTTAGTTCTGAACTTGGTTTCATACCATACAATAATGCAGTTCACAGTTTCAAAAGAAATGCTCATCTCTTTAGATTTTTTAGGTACTATGGCTACATAATTCTTTTAATGATTTTCTGAGACTGGGGCAAACATTGCCAACACCAGTGAGAGGACGTACAAAGATCACTTAGCAACATGATTGAGAATTTACTTAACAGTGACAGTTGACAAATTGATGGCAGCTGGTATTCCTTCAAAGTGCATTTGATTATTTTAGTGCCAGATGGAGGAACTTTTCATAAACCATCACAAACACCACTAGCATCTATTAAAAGAAAAATCAAATGAGGAGTTTGAAACAGCAGTGAGAACAAATAGGTGTACGAGGAGACTGCTATAAAAATCATGGGGTAACTGATTTGACAAATTATATCGCTTATAAATCATCCAATACATAATGTGATACTTCAAATCAGTTGTCAAATCCATCAATTCTCCTGACCTCAGTCAAAATAGAGAAAGGCTGAGGAAAAAAATTGAAAATTGAACAATAATTTTCATACGTTAAACTAATGAAAATTATAGCCTCCATATTAATGACCATAAACCAACTCAGCATAGGTTATTTGATGCTTTTGAAAGATCAGAGCAGCCATCTCTTTTTTCCTAAGTTTCTGAGTGATATGATAACAAAACATACTTCCCATAAACAGACTAAAAGATAAAGAAGAATGAATAAGTTTCATTACAAACAGATAAATCAACTTATAGTTCACATTCTTTATGTATAAAGAAACAAATAAATATATACTTCAGCACAAATAAGATAAATGTCTAAATGACATGCAATGATTTTTTACCTCTCCTTTAAAAATACCAAACAAGTAGGAGTTGTATTAGCACTAGTTGAGTCCTTTATTAGCATAATCTTTAGTGCTTTATTACCAGTAACTTCATTTTTTAGGTTAAAGCATTGCATATAGGGTTTTTATTCTAAATAATATCATAATTCATTTGTTGGAAGTTTTAGAGATGTTTCCAGATTTGTGTAGATATTGTTTGAAGGCTTGACGGTAAATGGTTTTCCGAACCTACTTCTTTGTTAATTATCCAGGCCGGTGACAATTTTATTCTTATTCTTAACTGTATTTTAGATAATTAATTACGCATTTTGCACCATTACAGTGCAATAATTACTAATAGTTGACCTCGGTACTATTACGGAACTATTACATTTCTTGTTTCTTCATTCATCCAAATCCCAATATTGTTGATAGCCGGATTTATAAAATAAATACTGACTAAAAATTTTAGTTAAAATTATCAGAATGATGTACAGTTAATTTAAATAAATTACCTGAATACTGAAATCTCCGTCGAGAGAAACGTTATGAGACTCCTCGGTTAGAAAATCACCGGAGGAAGCGGAGACGCCGCCTTCAAGCATCATCTGGCGCTCCTTACCGTCGAGATCCGACGCCAGCGCCGCCAAATCAAATTCGGAGAAAAACGGACCCTGCAACACCGTGTTGACGCAATGTACAGCGCACAGCTTCGACTCTTGTACCTCGTGGTACAACATACCTCCGTTACTTGCCCCTTCCATTCGTGTTATTAATCAAAAAGCAACTCTTTTTCAGTATGAATGAATTTGTACAACCCTAAAATTGATGTAATTGTGTTTTAAGTTTTAACTGTGACACGTTGTATAAATATAGAGAGCGTTTTCGTTTGGATGAAGAGAAGAAGATCGAGGAAAAACCAAAAAGAATGAGAATATAATAATATCGGTTTTGTTTGGTTTGGCGTGACTTCAAGTGAACTGGTCATTGAGGACGTGTAATGAAGGTTTTACACTTGCCAACTTGCGCAGCACCGAAGGAAGCACTTTCTTAGAAGCACTGTCATAAATTCTTTAATCCACAATATTTTGTATATTATAAACGCCGAACGATTATGCATACCTAAGGTTTGCCAAAACAACAAATTGGTACTTAAAAGGTTTTAAAACGATAAATAAGTACCTTCCGTTATGTTCAATTAGTGATTTTCGTTTGATAATAGTGAAAAGACTAGAATGTCCTTGAAAGTTTGATATTTTAGTTTTTTATAAATTTAAAAATTTCTAATAAACCCCTTAGGTTTGCTAATTTGACTAAATACCCCAATATATAAATTTTTTATAAAATAACAAAAACACCCCCGCCACCTGCAGTGCCAGATTCTTGCCACACCGCCAGAATCTGGCTGGAATATTGCGTTACGACACAGACCAGTCGGTTTTGTGTCGTAACGCGTAGATCTGGCATTTTCCGGCAAGATGTGTGGCTTATCTGGCCGAAAAAGGCCAGATCTACAGCCAAATCTGGCCGTCGAGGCCGAAATCTGGACGAAAAATTGAGTTACGACACAGACCCATCGGATCTATGTCGTAACGTGTCAATCTGACATTTTCCGGCCAGATCTACAGCCAAATCTGGCCATCGAGGCTGGAAGAGGCCAAATGTAGATCTAGCCTTTTTCGGCCAGATTCGTGGCGGATCTGACTGGATAAGGCTAGATCGACGCGTTACGACACAGATCCGACGGGTCTGTGTCGTAACGCAATATTCCGATCGGAATCTGGCACTATGGTGGTGGGGTGTTTTTGTTATTTTTCAAAAATTTATATATTAGGGTATTTAGTCAAATTACAAACCTATGAGGTTTTTTAGAAATTGTTAAATTTATAAAAAACAAAAATATCAAACTTTCAAGGGCATTCTAGTCTTTTCACTATTATTATCAAACGAAAATCGCTAACAGAACGTGACGAAAGGTACTTATTTGTCGTTTCAAAACCTTTTAAGTAACAACTTATCGTTTCGACAAACCTTGGGTATGTATAAGTCGTTCAGCCTATTATAAATTGCATTTCCAACATGAATACTAAAATTATTAATATGATTATTTTTTTTTTTATATAACTGAAAACTAACTTTTAGAATTCCATTGAATACCTTACAAACTCAATAAATCTGATAGATCCGATAAGTCATAGACTCGAACAAATAAACCAAATGATATAATTGAAGAGCTTTGTTTACATAATATGATTATAAAAATAAACGGTATTCACAGAAAAGGGTCCCCAATTAATACAACTCACATGTTATAATGCTCATCTTCAATTATAAGTGAACGTTTAATTCCTGAATAAAAATGTGTGAATTTCAAATCAAACGAACTCAATTTGCTTCAT